GCCTAGAGTGGTCTTTTAGACCAGATGGGCAGGGTATAAATCAAATAAATAAATAAATAAAAATAAATATTCAGACTAATCTGGTTTCCTGTACTGTAACTTTAACCCATTATTGCTTGTCTGAGTTGACTGAGAACAGATACTGCTCCTCCTTTGTAGGATGACCTTTCAGGTATTTGAAAAGTGCTATCCTATTCTCTGCAGCCAAAGATGGAGAAGCTCTATACAGTCAGCAAAAACAATTTGTAAGGCCTTGTTGAAAGCCACTTTGTTTTCTTGCATTTTCTTTTCTTTGGGATGGTTTTTGTTGCTGCCTCCTGGACAATGTTACGAGCCTCTATCCAAAGTTCTTCAGGCACTCTGTCCACCAAATCCAGTTCCTTAAATCTGTTCTTCACTTCCACTGTGTATTCATAAGGGATTTGGTTTAGATTATACCTGAGTGGGCCAGTGGTTTTTCCTACTCTCTTCAGTCTAAGCTTGAATTTTGCTATGAGAAGCTGATGATCAGAACCGGAGTCAGCTCCAGGTCTTGTTTTTGCTACCTGTATAGAGCTTCTCCATCTTTGGCTGCACAGAATATAATCAATCTGATTTCGATATTGCCCATCTGGTGATTTCCATGTATAGAGTCGCCTCTTGTGTTGTTGGAAAAGAGTGTTTGTGATGACCAGCTTATTCTCTTGACAAAACTCTATTAGCCTTTGCCCTGCTTCGTTTTGAACTCCAAGGCCAAACTTCCCTATTGTTCCTTTTATGTCTTGGCTCCCTACTTTAGCATTCCAGTCCCCTAGAATGAGAAGAACATCTTTCTTTGGTGTCAGTTCTAGAAGGTGTTGTAAGTTTTCATAGAATTTGTCAATTTCAGCTCTTCAGCATCCGTGGTCTTCTTTGGATTCATATAGAAATCATTCTATCATTTTTCAGATTATATCCCATTACAGCTTTTCCCACTATTTGTTGACTATGAGGGCCACTCCATTCCTTCTATGGGAATCTTGCCCACAATAGTAGATATGATAATCATCTGAGCTGAATTCGCCCATTCCTGTCCATTTTAGTTCACTGATGCCCAGGATGTCGATGTTTATTCTTGCCATCACCTGTTTGACCACCTCCAGCTTCCCAAGGTTCATAGATCTTACATTCCAGGTTCCTATGCAGTATTTTTCTTTGCAGCATCGGACTTTCCTTTCACTTCCAGGCGTGTCCACAGCTGAGCGTCCGTTCGGTTTTGGCCCAACCACTTCATGAGCTCTGGAGCTACTTGTCCTTGTCCTCCACTCTTCCTCAGTAGCATGTTGGATGCCTTCTGACCTGAGGGGCTCATCTTCCAGTGTCATATCTTTTAGCCTTTTGTTTCTGTTCATAGGGTATTCTTGGCAAAGATACTGGAGTGGCTTGCCAATTCTTGCTCCAGGTGGATTGGGGTTAGTCAGAACTCTCCACTATGACCTATCTATCTTGGGTGTCCCTGAATGGCATAGTCCATAGTTTCTCTGACTTACTCAAGCCCCTTCGCTACAACAAGACAGCAATCCATGAATGGGAGGAAAAATATATATTTCTGCATAGAAATATGAAAAATACATATTCCTGAAGGATCATTATTTAGCCCCCTAAATAATGATCCTTCTTGCCCTCCTCTGAACATGCTCCAGTTTGTCAGCATCCTTCTTGAAGTATGGTCTCCAGAATGGGACTCAAGATAAAGCTTAACCACTGCGTTCCTGCCGCCGGGGAAGTTGCCTGTAATATCTGCCATCCCCAGGCACTGGGTGAGTGACTGTGTCTGGTAGTATTTCTGGCCTGCACTCCCTTGGCCTTCAGGACTGGAACCCTGCTGCTGCTACTGCTTCGGGCTACCCCACCCCTTCTGCAACACCAGCCACCTGGCTGGAGGGAAGGGAGGCTGTAAAAGCCAGAAGCCTGGCCCTGGGTGTCATTCTTGGTGGAGACCGTGTTGTCTAGGAGCGCTGTGGGTCTCCGGTTGCTGTGCCGGAGAGGCAGATTACCCCAGGTGCCTGTGGCGAGCTGGCGGGAGGAAGATCTTCAGCGACCTAGGAGAGAGCTGACTCACTGGGCGGTCGCCATGTTGGGCTCCCTGCTGGCAGCTTCTTCCCCGGAATCGGATTGCTCATCCTGCCCTTCCTGGACTAATTATAAAAACATCTTGCCATCCTTTCAAGGAAGGGAAAAGGGGAAACCAGGAACTAACTATCTCCTTGCCTGGACTTTGCTGCTCTCGACACTGCCTGTATTCTTTACCCTGATATACCTCATGAGTAACATCCTCACTTTGGCATTCTCCTTGGGTCTAACACCAACAACACTAAGAATACCAATACCAGTAAAGCTCAAAAGGACAAGGTTGCGAAGCGGTGGAGGATGGCCCTGGTCTAGATGGGGGGGGATAACGTTTCTGGTATTTTATCTTATTTTTAAATTTAATTTAATTTTATTTTGCATTGTATTTTATAATTTGCATTCCGACGTATTGTTTGTATTTTGTTAAGTTGTTATATTATTTTGTGTTTGCTTTTCTGATTTATTTTTTTCTTTTCACTCTTTTGTCTGGCATGGAGTGGGAGGTCATGGGTAAAGGGAGATATGGTGTTGGCACAGTCCCAGCTCATATCAGTAGAACGATGAACAGATGTTTGAAGGCTGTTCACTGTTTTGAGACTGTGACCAACCCTCAGTATCGAGGTAGCCAGTTCAGCCAGCCTTCCACTCTAACCATGGTGCTGTTGAATGCCAGGTCTGTATCCAATAAGCCCCAGGTGATTCAAAATGTTATCATGGAGGAGGATGCAGATCTGGCATGTATAACTGAGACGTGGCCTACTGGGGAGGGTGGCCCTCCCCTGGCCCTCATCTGCCCACCCGGTTATGATGTCCAGCACCAGGGTAGACTGGAGGGACAGCGGGGAGTAGCCATTGTCTATAAATCCAGCCTGGAGGTTACCAGGTGCTCCTCGGGGGTAAGGCCAGGTCTAGAGGTACTCCACGTGTCGATAGGGGCCAGGGATGGAATTGGGATTTTGCTGGGTTACCGCACCCCCTGCAGCCCAGCCACTTCCCTTCCGGAGTTGGCCGACTGTCTCTGCGGCACTGTTGGGATCCCTGAGGCTTCTGGTCTTGGGTGATTTCAACATGCATGCGGAGGCAGAGATTACTGGGCCAGCTCTTGAGTTCCTGGAAACCATGGCTTCCTAGAACATGTCCCAGCATGTCAGCAGCCCCACCCACGTGAGTGGTCATACGCTAGACCTTTTTTTCCCTCCAATTGGGGCGAGAGTGGGTCTGAGGGTCATGGACCTCGTGTCAGTCCCCTTGTCATGGTCAGATCACCACCTGATAAAATGTAATCTCACAGTGGCCCTCCCCCCTTCGCAGGGAGCAGGGGCCTATTTCTATGGTCCACCCTCGAAGACAGCTGGATCCGGTCGGCTTCCAGGATGCCATGAAAGGGATTACTGCTGACTTGGTTAGCGCTCCTGTCGACATCCTGGTTGACAGCTGGTCTACCACTGCCACCAGGGCTATAGACACGATCATGCCCAAACGCCGTCTCCAAAGCAGAACTCGCCCAGCGCCTTGGTTTAATCAGGAGCTTTGGGCGATGAAGCGAAGAAGGAGAAGGCTAGAGTGTAGATGGAGGAAGAATCCGATGGATCATAATTGGATAGCTGTTAAGGTCACAACTAACCTTTACCTGAATAAGGTGAAGGCTGCATGTAGATCATTCTTCGCTAACGGATAAGTGAGGCGTCCAAATAGATCATTCTTCGCTAACCGGATAAGTGAGGCATCCAAAAAGCAGGTGGAGTTATTCCGTATAGTGTGTGACCTATCCAGAACTGGCTCAGGTGATAGGCCTCCCCCTAGTCTCTCGCCGTACCAATTTGCAGCATTTTTTAAATCTAAAGTGGAGGCCATCTGCCGGGAGCTCTCTCCTTTTTTGAATGCAGCGAGTCGAACTGAAATGTCCAGCGCTCCATCTTGCCCGCTTATTTTCT